GTGTGAAAGCATTCCTATTTCTCCACATCCTCTCCAGCATCTGTTGTCTCCTGATTTTATAATAATAGAGAGATACCATCTAACTGGCATGAGATGGTATCTCAATGTGGTTTTGATTTGCATTTCTCTAATAACCAGTGATGATGAGCATTTTTTCATATGTTTGTAGGTCACATAAATGTCTTCTTTTAAAAAATGTCTGTTCATATCTTCTGCTCACTTTTTGATGGGGTTGTTTTTTTCTTGTATATTTGTGTTAGTTCTTTGTAGATTCTGGGTATTAGCCCTTTGTCAGATGGGTAGCTTGCAAAAATTTTTTCCCATTCTGTTGGTTGCCAGTTCACTCTAATGATTGTTTCTTTTGCTGTGCAGAAACTCTTAATTAGATCCCATTTGTCTATTTTGGCTTTTGTTGCATGAAGGACCCTGTCCTTGCTGAGGCTCCCACCTCTGAGTGATAGTCTTTGGCTTGGCATAAATTGTATTCAAATTTCTTAACCAGGCTCTTTGAGTTCTCCACAGTTTTCGTAAGTGGAGTCAATGCCTCTGAAATTCAAATTTTGAGTGTGGGGGAGGGACATAGTTTCATCAGAGTCTCAAATACAAATCCATAGCTCAGTGCCTTCTTGTTTGAGGATTATTTTTGATACTTATTTAATATAGAGGTTGCTGGGCTCTGCCTCTAGAGATTCTGATTCATTAGTCTGAAATGAAACAAGGAAATCTATATTTTTAACAAGCCCCCAGTGATACTAATGTAAGGCCGTGATTGAGAGCCACTGGAGAAGATAATCATTGAAAGTGCCTATCAGAGCAGAGACGTCGCCAGACTAGGAGTATTGGGTGGGCAGGTGCTGCCCTCTAGTGCCTCTAGCTGCCATCTACTGCTACTTGCCAGACTCCCACTCAGCTGTGTGAGCTCCGGTGGTTTTGCTGCCTGACACTACTCTGGGGCTTCCTAACCAACTCCCTGGAGATTCTAGCTCTTGAACATCAACAAAGGTGCTCACCTATAAAAGTGTTGCTGCTGAGTCGCAACAATTATGCATCTCTGTCCCCAGCACCTTCGTACATTTAAGGTGTTCTCTGGTATTTTCTGAGTACGAGACACAGCAAAGCTATTTTGTAAGCCTTGTGTGAAGGGACAAGACATCAGTGGCATGTCAGTCACATTTTTCTTTATAAGGCGACAGGACCCATGGTACCTATGAATTGGCAGCCATGAACAGTTTCTCGAAGAAATTCTATTGCAATCATTCTGGCTCTGCAGCATTATAATGAAAGCAGGGTCTGGCTTAAAGCAAGTTTTCTAGAAACAAATGAAGAAGAATCCTTGATAGTTGTGTAGCCCTCCAGCATCCGCACAGGCTTTTCATGTACTTCATCTCCCTTGTTTGCTGTTCGCTCTCAACCACGAGGCAGGAAGGACAAATGTGATGATCCATACCCACATTGTGAGAAATGCCAGGCTTAGCTGTGTTCATTACATGAATGCGCCCTTGTTTAGGAAGACACTGATCCCACTGTCCTGTCCCCACAAGCACCCTTGTCAATGAGTCCCAAACCAGTAAATAAACCTATGCTCAAGGCCTAACTTGCAAAAGGGCATGAGACCATTTTTAGCTCAGCCCTTGGCCCTAATTCCTCAGCTCTGAGGCAGAGGAGCAAGGGCCAGGTGAATTGCTGGAGAGGAGTTTGCAGCAGATGGTTTTAATGGCTTGGTGGAAGGGCAGAAGCTGTGGTTATTTGTGAGATAAGTAGTGCACTGGCAGGAACAGGTGCAGGATTTGCGGAACGTGGTGATTCTCCCAGGGGCAAGAGGTCAGGCTAATGGGTGATAGAACTGTTACAGCGCATAGAGGGCAGCAGCAGTTGGTTAAGTAGGAGTAATAAAAGTAATGAAGGATCTAGGCTACTTTGCACGTATGTTGATGACCTGCTGCTAAGAAGCTGACTCAAGCTGCTTGATAACTGATTTTTGTTAACCTTTCATTCAGTGCTCTTTGGTTGAAAAAATTTTCTCATTCCTGTATTATGGAATTTGCAAGTTCAGAAAAGATATTGAAATAGCTCAAATTCATCCCATTTTCAGGTAGGACTCTTCTTAAATTATCCTTAATATGAAGATCTATTTTTCTTTTGTAGGTATAAGTAGGACATTTAAGAAAAATGTTCACTAATGCAAATTAAAACTGCAATGCACCTTACTCCTGCAAGAATGGCCATAATAAAAAAATCAAAACACAGTAGATGTTGGCATGGATGTGGTGATCAGGGAACACTTTTACACTGCTGGTGGGAATGTAAACTAGTACAGCCACTACAAAACACAGTGTGAAGATTCCTTAAATAATTGAAAGTAGAACTACCATATGATCCAGTAATCCCACTACTGAGTATCTACCCAGAGGAAAAGAAGTCATTATTCGAAAAAGATACTTGCACACACAAGTTTATAGCAGCACAATTCGCAATTGCGAAAATGTGGAAGGAACCGGCCCAAATGCCCATCAATCAACAAGTGGATAAATAAACTGTAGTGTATATATATTTGATGGAGTACTAGTCAGCCATAAAAAGTAATGAATTAATGGCATTCGCAGTGACCTGGATGAGATTGGAAACTATTATTTAAAGCAAGGTAACTCAGGAATGGAAAACCAAACATTGTATGTTCTCACTGATATGTTGGAGTTAAGCTATGAGGACACAAAGGCATAAGAAAAATACAATGGACTTTTGGGATTTGGGGGAAGGGTGGGAGGGGGGTGAGGGATAAAACTACAAATAGGGTGCAGTGTATACTGCTCGGGGGATGGGTGCATCAAAATCTTACAAATCACCACTAAAGAACTTATGTAATCAAACACCACCTGTTCCCCAATAACCTATGGAAATAAAAAATTTAAAAAAGAGAAAAACATTCACTAATCCATTTGTTTGTCAGATCATTTTCAGAATATTTTTCCTTATAGCTTAGTTCAAAAAGAAGCCCTTGTGTTAATGAATTTTTTGGTTGTTTTTAAGTTATGGTAAGATATACTTAATATAAAATTTACCATTTTAGTTATTTTTAAGTGTAAAATTCAGCGCCATTAAGGGAGTTCACTTATTAATAAGATGGTTGTATTTACCACCCCAAAAAGAAACTTCTGTACCCATTAAACATTAACAGTCTATTTCCCCCTTCTTCAGCCCCTTCCCCAGCAAAAGGTTGGCTTTTGCTTCTT